CCCCCCCCCTAAAATATTTTTTCTCTTGGATACATGTGATATAAGAGACGAAAGTAATTTTTTTATAATAAAATTAAGAGCTTGAGATATAAATTATAATTATTGATCATTTTTATTACATGTAATATATTCATAAAAAAATAGTTACATAATTTATTTATCAATTTTTTTTGTCAAAATGGATCTTAAAAGTATTGTATTTATTTTGAGATCTGTGTAATATTTATTTTAATTGATTTTTTTATGTGTTTCACTCATTTTAAAGCAAATTTAAGTGTGGAGGATCCATTTACATAAGACAATTAGCATTATTTTCATAAAAAATAAGACCTAATAATTCTATGATTTAACATGCAATAATATGCTTTAGGCTTTATTCGAAATAGTTTTCTTACTAATTTTCACCATAACTTTCTTATAAAAAATTTTACACAGCTATAATATCATATCACAGGCCCAAACGGAGACCACTCCCAAATGGCTTGCTTTCCCTTGACCCAAACGACATGTTTCGTTTTCCTCTTTGCTCCTCTCTCACAACTCGTGACTCACGACCTCGAGCATGGCTTTCAGTTTCCCTTCGCTCCTCTCTTGCCATGTTATTTGCATTATTAATTTTGATCTTATAGCTCCTCTTGGCTCCAGTAATAAGACAAAAAATGGAAGTATTTTAATGTATTCTAACATTCCAAATGAGATGGCAAACCGCTAGAAAAATTGACCGTTAAAAAATCACCGGAAAATTGACCGCCGGAAAACTGTTGAAAAATTATGGTGGTAAAGGATGATTTTCCTGTAGTGTTTAACTAAGCCCCCCCCCATATAAAAGTTCTAGCTCCGCCATAGTTAGCATCTAAATTGGACGCCACTGTGTTGAAGTCTTAGGAAAATTGGTATGATACAATTTCTTTGTACATGTAAGCACTACAGCGCTACCATGTACTTCATAGTGCTTTAATGCTCATATATGTAGTGTTGCGGTGGAAAATCCTTTACTTCTACAAGTATTATGGCATTTTATTCAATGGTGTTATATGGTACGCCTGCTTTTATTTTAAGGCTTTATTTAGGCCCGCAATGTTGTCGTCAGTGTTGCAGCATTAGGTCAAAATCAGAATTAATATTTATGGCATTGCGAAGATAGTCTTTACCAAGCTTCGTAGTGCTCGTACGTGTCAAATTTTGCGGTGATACATTGGTCAAAAAGCTCGTGTTTCATTTCTCCATGCTAGCACTATGATAAGTGTAAATAATGTAGTATTGTATATATTTTATTTTTAGTGAAAATGTATTATCATATTATTTTTTGTATAGGAAAAACTCAAAAATGACAAAAACTCGAAGGAGGCATTTGAAGAAATAATGCTACAGTACCACCTTCAATATTGCTAAGGCACCATAAATTGGACATCCCACCGAGTTCTCTATTTGCAAGCGTTGTGGTGGCAACAAAGTCAATGCCACATCATTACAAGTGCCGCAATGTCAAAAAGTCAGCTTGGTAATGCCAGATTATCTATTTTTAAATGTCACGGTGTCATAATTTCTCAGCCTTGGCATCAATTTTTGCCACTCGGGCACTATAGTGTTCAAATGTCAATAACACCACAACGTTATAGTTACAACATTCAAGGGCCACATTCTCTCAATGAAGAGACGCGAATATTCACTAACCAATACATATCAGCAAGCAGCAAGGCAGTGTAAAAGTTTCATCGAGGCATTAGTTCACTTCAATGGTGCCACGACACCACCCTTTCAGATGCTATAGCACGATATATTTTTTTTGTGCGTTGATATATATATATATATAATTATGATGTTATGTTTGTGAGAGAATTTAATCACTTCGTTAAAAATTAAAAACTTAATGATTGAGAGTGTTATATTCATTACACTTGCTTCTTTGATAAACGAAGCATATCAGCTTCTTAACAAGTCAAACACAAACTTTTGATCAATTTTTTTGATAGTCCCATACTTAAGTCTTGTCTTGTAATACTCTTCCTTATCATGTCATTTTGTTGCTTGTCAAAAACCGGCATCTATATACGTCCTTTTTATGTCATTGGCGTCCTTTAGGTGTAGGTGACAAATTTATGTCCTTACTAGTTTTTTTTTAATAATATGATTGATACATCATAAAAAAAATTACCTCGATCGGGCACAAATCTCGATGCAAAATCAGATTGGAAACTTCTGAAATTAAAATTGGGACCATCCGAACTCTGATTTTAGCAAACTTACAGTCAAACTAAACGTCATGGAAATACGAACCTAACGACACAAAATTCGACTAAATCCGAGCCCAAATCAAGGACCCGAAATGCTATTGGAAGGTTCAAATCACAATTTGGGTTACCAAACGATTTCCAAACATGACATCCTTATAGTCGAATCAAGCGGCTCAACGAGAAGAATCCAACGAGCCCAAGATCGCATAATTCCAACATCATTAAGACTTTAAACTGTCTGACAAAGTGTCCACGATCAAGAGATTCAATATCGGTCGTCCATCCAACCACTCCCCATTTACCCTTGATCTCTCACCTATTTAAAGTCCATGCCGCTCCAAAAATCTATAAATAGACCCCTCCTTTATCTTGAGAGGGGATCTAAAGTAACAAGAGAAGAAGAGAAGAGATGGAAGAAGAGCAGGAAGATGCTCCTCCTCAACCACCGCCGGAGTCTCGCCGGACCACCGCCTAAGGCCCTTGCCTCCGCCTGACAACCACTTGAGGCCCTCACCTCTGCTAGACCACCGCCTGGCGTCGCTGCTCCTCCGGACCACCACTTGAGGCCCTGTGCTCCACCAGGCCACCACTTGAGGCCCGGACTTCCGCCGGACCACCGTTTGAGGCCTAAGCTTCCTCCGGACCACAACTTGAGGCCCTGTGCTCCACCAGGACACCACTTAAGGCCTGGACTTCCTCCGGACAACCACTTGAGGCTCTGTGCTCCACCAGGCCACCACTTGAGGCCCGGACTTCCTCCCGACAACCACTTGAGGCCCTGTGCTCCACCAGGCCACCACCTGAGGCCTGAACTTCCGTCGGGCCACCATTTGAGGCCATGTGCTCCACCAGGACACCACCTGAGGTCTGAACTTCCGCCGGACCACTACTTGAGGCCTTGAGCTTCGCCAGTCCACCACTTGACTCCCAGAGTCCCTTCTGCCACGGTATTTCAAACCCCTGTCTTATGCCGATTATGGTCCTTCTGACCTTCATCACCAGACAATGGTCTTTCTTAACTCGGTCTCCTGTCAACTATAATCTTTCAGACCCATGTCTCGTGCTGACTATGACACTTCCAACCAAATAAACATGTCTATGTTGATTATTATAACTCGCACCATGTAATGTGCTCTATATGACGCACATTTTTAACATCAAGCCAAGGCCTTCTCTTAAGGAAGGGACTCATTGGTAATCGACTGCAAATACTAGTGGATTTATTCAAACTTGGCTAGGCATCGTGGTTTTTCCCCCTTTCCATGGTTTCCTCGTAAAAACTCTTGTGTCTCTTATAAACGTTACACTCTCTCTTATCTACTTGTGTGCTGGATCTTTGTACAATGCTAAGACGTTAAACTATATATTTCTCTACTGCCAAAAATATTTCAGGACGCAACAATGATGTATAGTATCTGTCATATAATTAACAATTAATTTCATTGGTCCGAAAATAGGCTTATAAAAAAAAGCTCAAAATAGCAATAACGGATCTAAAATTTATTGAATTTATTTTGAGATGTATAATATATAAAAACTTTATACTGCACTCATTACTAATTTTAAAAATTACATCTATCAAAATTGTCTCAAGATAGTATAACATAAATTTTCTGTAGTCAAACATCTTAAATTTAATATTTATATATATTTTGTCAATAATAAAAAAAATGATAGTTCTATGCATCTGGTCAAAATTTTGACCTATTTTTCAGCAACATATGTAATGAAGTTACTCCAAAACTTATTATCATTTAGTTTTTGTTTGAAATAGTTTTAATTTTATTTTCAGTCATTTTCAAAAATATTTATTCGAAAATAAATTTTTAAAGATAAAAATTTTAAATAACGAAAAAATAGTTTTTCAAACCTAAATTATTATTTATTAACTGTTTTTCAGTTTCAAAAAACAGTAAACAGAGTCGTAGTACGCCTCATACGGATTTAAAAGATAATTAAAGGACATAATAAATTCAAATCAAACTGAATAAATTCGCGAAGAAAAAAAAAAAGAGTAGCTCTGCTCAGGAGAAGTACCGGTGCATAGGTCATCGAGATCCGACCAGTGATGAGACTCCACTGCAAACCATAACCCAGGAATCCAAATCCAGCAGCAAGAAATAGCACAGCAGGCATAGGAAAATAAAGAAGAGCAAGACCGGAGGACCATCCAAACGCCTTACCAAGATCCGAAGCAACGGCGAGGTAATTAAGCTGTACTTGCGAGATTCCCATCGCTGCCTTAAGCTCCGACGAGTAGGAAGAGAAGTCGAAGTTGGTGCCAGTGCACGCCTGGATCCAAATCGTCACCATCAAGATCATCCACCCACGCGATTCTCCGGCCATGGATTTTGAACGGCGAATCCAAAGCCGTTCCTGCTTTTTTTCTCTTGGCCGCTATCTTTTGCCTTCCTAGCATTCGCGCGGAATAAACCGAATTGTCTCGCGCTTAAATAGCTATGCGGAGGTTCGACGCTTGTTCTCAGGTGCTGCGTGTAAGGCACCTTTTTTTGTTTTTTTTGTTTTTTTTTATTTATTTATTTATTTATTTTTTTTTTTTTTGGGACAAATGATGGTCCCTTTTTAGGCGTGCATTATTTGAGATGTGGGCCCAACAGAGAGGTGTTTATTGGAAATATTTTTTATCATAAAAAATAAAAGAAAATTTTATATACATCTTTTATTATATATGAAGTAAGACAAATATAGAAATTTATTTTGAATGAAGTTGATATGTCATCCAAAAATTATCTTGATCGGGCACGAATCTCGAGGCGAAAATCAAGTTGGAAACTTCAAAAATTAAATCTTGGATCATCTGAACTCTGATTTCAGCAAACTTGCAGTCAAACTGATCGTCTCGAAATTACAAACCCAAAGACACCAAATTCAACTCAATCTGAGCCCAAATGAGCCCAAATCGATCTCCTGAAGTGCTGTTGGAAAGTTCGTATCACAGTTTGAGTTATCAAACTGTCTCCGAATTTGATGAGCTTATAGTCAAATCGAGCGGCTCGACGAGACAAATCCAACGAGCCCAAGATCGCCAAATTCCAACATCATTAAGACCTTCAAATATCTGACAAACGGTGTACGATCAAGGGATTCAATATCAGCCGTACATTCAACCACTCTCTAATTTCCCCCTTGATCTCACACCTATTTACAAGCTATGCCACTCCAAAAAGTCTATAAATAGAGCCCTCATTTCTCATGAGAGGGGACCCCAAGCAAGAAGAAAAGAAGAAGAAGAGAAGAAGAGAAGAGAAGGAGAGGAGAGAATAGCTCCTCCTCGACCACCGCCAGAGTTCTACCCGTCGTTAGAACGACACCAGAATCCCGCTGGACGCCTGAGTGATGCCGGAACTATGCTCGACTTTGTAACTGAATTTCAATACATAAGAACCTCATTGTAATCTGAGCATCCTAACTTGTTGGACAAATCAACCTCTTGTATCTAAAACTACACTAGTGGAACTTTTCAACTAGGTGTGGCCCCGTGGTTTTTTCCTTTTTTGGGTTTTCCACGTAAAAATCCTGGTGTTCTTTTATCTTCTGTTTGTGTGTGCTAGATATTCGTTCAATGCTCAAACAAAAATTTCTAACTCTACCGCCATGTATATTCTAGTCCGCAACAGTTTGCCGTCGTTAGTGGGAACCATTATCCTACAACTTCAATTATTGCTACAATGGTCAACATACGTAGCAGCTGTATCATTGGGGCTTCCCGCTCCAACTCTCACCAGTCCAGAAATCAGTCTATGAATCATAGACGCCTGATGTTTGCCTTTTTTCATCATGGGGGCCAAAATGCTGCCGGAGAAGGAACCTTGGGATCTTCTTTAGAAGAGAGAATCCGAAAGATGGAAGAATCTCAGAGTGAGATCCTTCAACTCCTACGAGAGAGAAATACCACAACGGGAGAAAGTTCTTCTCCCTCAAGCTCCACCACTGGCCGAAGATGTTCAACTCTAACATCTTCAAGCGGAGATACATCTTCCTCCGCCAAGAAGACGTCTGTAGTCACGATAGGATAACGAACTTGTCGATACAACAAGTTCTACACATCCTTCGCCCTCAACTCAGTAACCTCGCATTCTTCCAGACCTCCCAGAAGACTTGGCCTAACCACACATTGCTGAGCTCCCTCATAATGTTCTACATCACGAACTACGAAGATTGGTATAAGAAGAGTTCCCCCGAGGAAATATGAGGCAAACTCTCCGACAGAGGGATTTCCATAACTCATCACCTCTAACTGAAGCCATTTATCAACACCCCATTTCGGTTGGATTCAAAGTACCGAACGTCGAGTTCTATGACAGGACATCCGACTCGTATGAGTATATCGACTACTATAGAACCATCATGCATATTCAACGAGCATCGGACGCACTCCTTTGCCAGGTTTTTCCTGCTACCCTTAAAGGAAAGGCTCGAACGTGGTTCTATGCGCTTCCGCCCAGAACGATCACTTCTTTCGTCAAATTGGCCAAAATCTTTATCGAACAATTCATAGCTAATCGAAGAATAGCTAAAGATTCTTCCCACCTCTCCAGATCAGCCAAAATAAGGGAGAATCATTGAAGGAGTATTTTCAGCAATTTTTCACTAAAGCTCGACAGATTCCAGGAGTAGACCCTGAATTGCTCAGAGGGGTCTTTCTTGGAGGCCTTCGTCTTGGCCCGTTCTATTCGGCACTCATGTGCGACACTGTTCATTCATATGCCGATCTGATCCATTGTGTGGGAAGCACAAAGGTGTACCTAGGATGGACAATTCATTCTCACAACAGAAAAAGCAAGAGAAGAATAATCTACATCCTATGCCTCCATTACTACGATGGGAACCTCGATAGGAGAAGGAGTATACCCCACTCAACACATCTCGAGTAAATGTATTGATGGCCGTTCGAGATGAAGATACATTGAAATGGCTGAATCCTTTGAAATCGAACACAGGAAATCTAGACCAGTACTGTCACTTTCATCGTAGTCGTGGTCACACTACCGAAGCCTGTAAGCAACTAGGATGAGATTGAAAGATTTATCCGCCAAGGATATCTTGGACTATTTATTCGAGATCCATCTACCCGAGAGGAAGCTTGTCCTGCTGGTGGGCAAAATCAACAACAAAGACAATCATTAAATAATATTCAAATGATTGAAGAGATTGAATGATCACGCACTTCGTGCATTTGTGTTAACAATACTACTTATCTTGTTGTCTTTTTTATGTTGAGTAGGGTGTCACTTTGATATCTTTGATATCTTCTTCCAAGTTAAATATTGTATTGTGCCCGTATGTATATCTTATATGTTGAGTCATTGTAACTTGTATATCCCTAAGTCATATTAGGAAACTATTGTACTGTCTTACATAATAGAGTAATATGATGTTCACGTTGTTGTGATATTATTTTCTCTTATAAAAGATAAAAAACTTCTCAAACTCTTTTTCTGTGATTCAAAAAATATACAATCTATATTGTATCTCAATCACCAGATGATCTATCCGAGGGGGATTTGGTCTTATATCATTAGTGGATTCTCCAGACCTCTTCTACACAGGTTAACGTTATCGAGCAGGGCTTTGACATACAACCTCGGATAGGTCTTATATCATTTGTAGATTCTCTCAACCTCTTCCACACATATTAATATCATCGAGTAGGGCTCTGACATACAACCACGGATAGGTCTTACATCTTTGGTGGATTCTCTCGACCTCTTCCACACAGGTTAACATCATCGAGCACGGCTTTTACATACAACCTCGGATAGGTCTTACATCCTTGGTAGATTTTCTCGATCTCTTCTCACAGGTTAACATCATCGAGCAGGGCTCTGACATAAAACCTCGGATTTATAATTTATTCTTGATATATTCTTCCAACCTCTTTCATATAGGTTAATATCATCAAGCAAAATAAGTGATTGATAAAATCATCACTCATATAAATACCTTAACAATCTAACAGTGACTCAAAAAATATGGGGGTCAATATATTAAAAGTATGTGTTAAAGATGCAATCACAATTCAGCTTTCTCCAAGGAACAAGTTCTCAATTTCATATACAACATTAATGGAGTTACATAAGTTCATATTCAGATGTATATTTATTCTCACTAAGTTAAAAGCAAAAAAAAAAAAACATTTACGTCATCAGTACAAAGATATATAATGGCAGCACACTTGCATATAGACGCATATTGCCTTCGTAAAATGCCATTAAACACCCTCCATCATCGGCCCTTCGTCTGGTGTATGTTAGTGGTCCTTTACTTCATATCAGACATTATCGGCTTCTCGCTCAGCTACTGATAACAACATATCTTCCAACTCTTGCTATTTGCTCTCCACTCGACCTTTAAATGCCAACAAACTTCTTCTCAAATAGCATCAAAATTCTCTCCGTCTACTCACCACTTCTGGTTCTCCTCCAGGACACTATCACTGCAAGATCTTCTCAAATCAACCTCGCATACAAGCAGCAATTGATCTCCTTCTATCACGGGTTGCCTATTTAGAAGCAGCCTCTCATCGCGACTTCTTCTACACAAGAGAGGGTTACTGAAGCTTGATAGGGGAATGCACCTATCTCCTACAGTGGAATGCCTCTAATGTAAAAAGAAGAGCACAAGCGAAGAACGAGAAAAAATTCTCCTTCTACACAAAAGAGGGGCACTGAAGCTTGATAGGGGAATGCCACCTATCTCCGACAGTGGAATGCCTCTAAGGTAAGAAGATGACTATAAAGGAAGAAGAGAAGTGGCTACAAAAAAAGTTCAACTTATACATAAGGAGAGAGGCCCTGAATTGGGTAGGGGATGCCACCTTCCAAAATAGGGGAATGTCTCAACTATAAGAAGTCAGAATGAAAGAGGTGAAAGAAAAGAAACGGCTACAAAAATTCCAACCTCTACACATGAAGAGGGGCAATGATTTTGTGTAGGGAAAAACACTAATGAAAAATAGTGGAATACCTCCCCTATTAGAAAGTTAGAACGCGGGAGGAGAAAAAAAACAAATAGCTGCAAAAATTCCAACCTCTACACATGAAGAGGGACATTGATATTGCATAGGGAAAATCACCTACGGGAAACAGTGGAATGCCTTCCATGTTAGAAAGTCAGAATAGAAAGTCAAAATGTGGGAGGAGAAAAAAAAGAAACAGCTGCAAAAAATTCTAACTTCTATACACGGAGAGGGGCTTTGAATTTTAGTAGGGGATACCGCCTACAATAAACAGGGGAATGCCTCAACTGTAAGAAATTTAGAATGATAGATGAGAAAAAATTTTTCTTCTACACTAAAGAGGGGCGCCGATTTAAGTAGTGAAAATCACATACGAAAAATAGCGTAAAGCCTATAGAATAAGAAGAAAAATAAGAAGGAGAGAAAAAAA